CTGTACCCCAAACTCCTCAGCCCCAGAGCCCACACCTCCCTGACAACAGTGTCCCAGCCCTAAGCCTCCTTTAGCACCCTAAACCTCTCATCCCTAATCCCACCCCAGAGCCCACGCTCCTAAACAGAGGTCTCACCTACTCCGCCCCAGCTCTGAGCCTCCTTCCATCCCTGTCAACCCCACATGTGTAATGAATTGTGTGCGCCACATCATCAACGGTATATCAACATACAAAGCAAAATTAATTCCGCACATGGAGATAGAAGGGGGCTTGGACTCTCTGGCCCTGCAGAGAGTCCTAGTTTAGCAGAACTGATGTGTGTGTGTGTGGGGGGGGGGGGGTGTTAGATTTGAGCCAAGTTTTCATTGCTGTGTAGACATAACCACAAGTCTGAAACTCTAAGGGTAACAGCAAGGGCCCAAGTAGTCTACCTACTCAAGTGTCTCTGCTGCAACATAAACCCAAGCTTCGAACATAAAACACTGATTTTAAAATTTGTGCCTAATATCATGGGCTGCAAAAGGACACATTAGAGAGACACTTGTGAATCATAAGCCTTCATCTGAGTGTCACAGGACTAGAGTAATCATATTTTGGTAGAGCTCTAGGAAGGCTGGGATATGGGTGGTTGGAATCACTCACAAAATATATTAAGTGTCTTCACTATATTATTTGGGCATGAGCTTTTGTAGACAAAAAAACCTCATTGGTTTTTGCCCACAAAAGCTCATGTCCAAATAAATCTATGAATTTTTAAGATGCCACAGCATCCCTCTGTTTCTACGGATACAGACTAACCTCTGATACTAGTGAAGATGCTGAAGCCCCAGTTTGGGACCCTGGGTTCAACAATTCCTACCTGGGGTTACAAATGAGCATAGATGCACACAAACTAGATTCAGAGGCAGCCCATGAGCCTAGGCGAGCTAGGCAGCTGCCTAGGGTGCCGCTGGCCCGGGCGCCCGATGATATCATGGCCATTGACAGCCGTTCAGGCAGGGGCACCAGCTGCTGCAGCCGGCCTCAGGCCGCTCCTGTCTAGATTAACAACTGCAGAGAGTCTGCTAATTCAAGTTCTACTAACTCTGGTCTTACATTGTAGTGCAGACATACTCACAAACTCAGACTAAGGCAAGAAGGGATCATCATGCTCGTCTAGCGTGACTTTATGCTCATTGCAGACCACTACTCTCAAATAAATTGGATCTCTAATACAAATAAACCAATTTGCTTTAGTTCTTACATTAAAAAAAATAGATGCATCAAAGATGTGGGCAAATACATTACCTCATACACAAAGAGCACTCAAAATCCGCAACATCGATTAAGTGCTGTGGTACTGTTCCACAAACCAGAGAAAATGCAGTGTCCATTTTTGTAGTTTCTAAGAGAAACAAGAACACATGTTGTGTGAAGACATAACACAAATCAAAATAAGTATGTCTAATCTGAACATTAAGCAGCTATTTACCTCCTTGTTTTTTGTGTTTGCTTCTTCCATCTTCGCACATTGTGGAATCCTGTTCTGAAAGGGAAAGCTTCCTTTTTAGGAGAGCACCTTTTTCTTGTCCAGAAAGCAGAGGTTCAGAAGAAACCCTTTTTAATCCATCTCCTTTAGTAAGCTTTTCTGCTGAGTTAAGAGCATGGGCAGATTGTACACGATTTAAGTTTCCTCTGACAGACGCCACTGTTATCTCTGGCACTCCTAAATCCTACAGAAATAAAATGAATGGTTAACAGTACCTATTTTCAAATTTTAACTAATCATTTATGACAACTGAACATGAATAAGTAGAAGCCAAATTCAGATAATAAACTTCACTGCACAACCAGACTCAATAGTTAACTTATGGAATAATTAAAAAAGGGATTAAAATCCTCATTTGCTTCAAAGAGGAAAATAATTTTGGAAAAGAAATTTTGAATTATTTGGAAAAATGTATAATGATACCTTTTTATTTTGGAGTTAATATTAACTAATGAAACGAATGAAAAGTGCACTAGCCTGTGTTTTATCAATTGTCAAAAATTACAATATTTTCCAGCTGATTCATTAAATCAAACAGAAAATTCTACAGCTTGCAGGCAGAAAGATGTTACAGCATATACATGCAATAGGAAAGGAGCTTAATAAAAGTTTGATAAAGAGCTTAAGTTCTGATGCCCTGACCTAATCTACTAACCAAGAGAAAAAATACATATAATATTACATGGTTTTCATTACTTACCTGCTCTGGACAAAGCTGTAAATTACAGTCAGACTCTTCCATCTCAGAACCAAGCATAAAAGATTTATTTCGTATATGAGGCGAAGTCCAAGCAGATTCCTTCAAACTCTCTCTCACATTTTCTGGTGACAGCAAATCACACAATGTCTATAAGATAAACATCTTAACATTACGATTAGGAGGAAAAGATTAAACTATGACTTCAGTGAATATAACTACATGACCACCACGAAGCAGCTTACTTTATATCTAAATTTCTTAATTTTAAAATATACCCTTCCGTTTACTCACTACCATATTATCAGCTGTCGCACAAATTCAGTTCAGTACAATTCTGCTCCTAATTAAATAATTACGAACTTATTTTTGCAAAAGCGGCGAGGAGTCCTATGGCACCCTATAAACTAACAGAAGTGTTTGACATGCATCTGACGAAGTAGGTCTTTGCCCACGAAAGCTTATGATCCAACACTTCTGTTAGTCTATAAAGTGCCACAGGACTCCTCACCGCTTTTGCAGATTCAGACTAACACGGCTACCCCTCTGATACTGGATATCCTTATTTCTATACATAAATTAATCTCTTAAATTCCCATCTTACAGAAAGTGAGGTTCTCACACACCTAAATATGAGCTTGTAATTAAACAATATGAAGTTCTGAAAATATATTAATTTGCATTGTGCAAAGTTGACAATGCAGATATATTTGTGTCCATAGAATGAAAAACTTAAAACATTTGATTTTTGTACTCAATTTGACATTTTCTGGAAAGTATGAAAATCCGATTTCTGTAAAATTGAGCAACATCTGTTTTACTTGAAAACCATACCAACTATTATTCTAAATGGATTAATTACACATATTTTGCCGTAACTCAACTTCATCTTAAAAAAAAAAAAAAAAAAAAGATTTGTGTGGAGTATGTTGGTGCACACTTATTTTATCCAAGGACACTATGACTCTGTACTCTGCACAGAAAATTAAATTCCTGAAAATAAAATCATCCAAACTTTAGTTGTAATAGATATGTAGCCGTGTTAGTCTAGTCTAGCTGAAACACCTAATAAACCATCTTGTTAGTCTTTAAAGTGCTACATAGTCCTGTTTTTTGTTTACACTTTAGTTGAACATTTTATAGTTGCAAAGGTCATGAGCCTAAATACATTAAAGACTGACATTCTAATGTAAAGTGGGCCACAAACTATCAAGTTACCTTTTCTACTTCTAACTTTGCTGGAACAAAATCCTCATCAAGGGATAAGCATTGTAGTAACAGTTGTAAAGCATCACCTACAAACCCAGCGTCATGCAGCACTTTTGCTTTTCTGAAGTAAATCTGAAAATATAGAAGCAACATTTGATAATTTCATTAAAGAAACTATAATAATGTTTGGACATACTAGGATATTGCATTTGTTTTCCTTTTTACGTGCAGGAAAGAATTGAGAGACACGATAGGGAAGAGAATATGCCTTTTCTGCAAAGCTTAGAAGGTCCACAGAAAGGAGGAACATACTATGCTCTCTAGTCTCCTTCCTCTATGCAGCTAAAACAGCACCTCAGAGTTACAACTAAAGAACAGAGATTGTTCATTACTATGAAGTGAACGTGACTTAATACACCTTTGGAACTTCTGAAAAAATTTGTCCAATTCATCACAACTTTTTCTAACAATATTACAGCCAATATGACATTTTATAATAATTTTAGGCCAAAACCAAGTTTATAAAAAGGAAATTCAGTGCATCTTTACCTGCAGAGTAACTGCCATAATTCCACAACTAATGGCTGAGTC